AGACTGCTAAGCTGTGCAGTGTGAGAGTCTGTGTTGTTTAAGTCAGAAAAAATACTAGACATGAACTGGAAACGAACCCTTTTCCAAATATGCTTACTGTTTATCATCCAACTTCTAAGCTGGAAGTAGTGAAGTGAGTAATAAAGACTGAACTTCAGTTTTTCTGCCGAGCACTGTTAGAGCTACCTCGTTAGCCTTGTCAGCCCTTATTGGCTGTTGGTTTCCTGAAAGTTCATCTCGTTCTCCGTTCAGCTGAAGGTAAAGACTAAAATATAGTATATTTTCACTTTATTCACGATGAAAGTTCATATTATTAAGGTTAAAGCACGAAAAGTATGCCTTGTTACATTATCTAGTGCCCCACATGTCCAGACTGAGAGCCACTATATTGTTGTCCCAAACGTGTGGCATTGAGATCGGTGAGCATATTCTGTCCCTTTCATTCAGGTTTTTGTTCCGTTTATCACATTGTTGTTGAATAGTAGCCTTTATTTGAACTATTTAATTATTCGAATGTAAACTTTTACTGCTTTTGGGTAAAATATAACGTTTAATATTGTGTTTGAAAAATGATTTTACAATTTACAAATAAGTGAGTTGGTAATGCCGTGAAATACTGCATTGAGGTAAAAGATAATTGTTTTATTGCAAATTTGAGCAATTTGATGACAAAATGATGTCAACTATGATGTCTACAAAAACATGATTTAAGGATTAAAGCTAGAACAGCTTATTAAAAATTCTATCATTCTGCTGGTCCTGTCTGTTGGCAGGTCAAGTTTTTTTTCTATGCTGGATTGTTCCTGAGGTGGATTCCTCCTGTGGATTTGATGGCGAGCCTTCCCACCTGGACTTAGAGAAAGAACTCGATTCCTTCTTTTCCATTTGGAGTCCTGCTGCACCCTGCGGTTTGGTAGGCCTGTATCACTCACATATTCACACACAGTTGGTTATGCATGAGACCACTGACTGACATTTTTCACTTTTATTGTTTCATCCTGGAATTCTGGACATTACCTTTTGGACAAGTTTTTATTTGGGACATTATAACAAACTGCTGTGTAGGAAATTCTCCTCATGTGAATGGTGTTGAGTCAAACCTGAATTGGAACTGAAATTGATTAATCTGTTGTCTATCATGGTTTAGAATGCCGATTACCAGTGTGGACTCAACAGATTTAAAACTGAGAATTAGCACTTGGCCAACATTACTATTATTTTATTGTGTGTAATTTATTTTCATAAATGTGTGTCTTGTACAACTTGTTCTTTAAATTTATCCAACTGCCTTTGTGTGTCATTTAAACACACCACTGAGCTCTGATAGCCGAACCTACTGGCCCATTGATCTAAAATATATAAAACTCTTCTCTACTGTGTTACACCCACACAACCTGATTCTGCACAACACGACTTGACTGGAGTTAGACTCGAGCCTTTTTACTTGAAGATATTTGGCATTTTATCCCAAGCCTTAAGTTTAAAACATTTAAAAAACATATTTAAAAATTGTGCACTATTAATTTGTTTCAATCATTCTAGCAAACTCAGACCATCTCACTGTTTTTCCACACTCTGAATATATAAGTGCAGCCAATCAAATTAACCAGATTTAAAAATAAAAAAAGCTCAAAACAAATATGCTCCAATAGTCATTTCTTTTTGGATACGAAGAAACTATGAAGAACTCAACAAAAAGCGAAGTCCAACATGAAAAATATGGAAGAGAATTACAGACAACGATGGAGCAACTTCCAACTTGTTCAACATTTGAAGTTGCATAAAAAAATGGTATCATTTACTTTTGCTACAATGACATAGCTGACTTTAGCTAACTATGTGTTATTATCATGCCTTTAACATTCACGCTATTTTAAATCCAGTCCTACAAGCGCATCCAAGAATAACGTGCAACTTGTTTGTTCCGGTTTGTTGGTAGATGGTGAGCAGGAGTCCTTTTTAGAAAAAGGTTCTTAACCTAAATTTAGGAAAGAGAATATTTCTTCTTTCCATTATAATGATAAAGAGGGCCCGGTTCCATCAGTAGATGAATTTGTATATTTGAATACATCTGTGTCAGGAAATATAGAGAATAAATGGACTGTTTACATCATTCAGTTCTTTGAGTCTGATCATGGAGTTCTGCCTTTGCATTTTTCATTCAGTTTATTCTGAAAAATTTAAGTTTAAATGAGACTGCTCTTGCTGCTAACTTTAGCTGAACTGTACAATATAGAATTACAATATTAGAATTGTTTTTTTACTTTTTAAGTTCATTTGCACATGTTTCTTGTTGACTTGAGATAAATACAGATTTAAAAAAGAGCATTGATGTTTATATTTTTGCAACATTGCTGAAAAGAGAGATTCCAAAAGACGTAAAATTCAAAGTTTCAGACTTGGGACTTGACTTGACAGTGGCTTGTCTAGGCTTGAGAATTGATTTGGTACATTAGGATAAAAACTTGAGACTTGCAAAACAATGACTGGGTCAATGACTTGTATTGTGTGTGTGTGTGTATATATATATATATATATGTATAAAAAAATTCCCTTCTCACCCTCTGCGGGTGGTCTCTCTCTCTCTCTTTCATCCTCTGAGCTCGGGTCGTCTACCAGAAACCTGGGAGCTTCAGGTTCTGCGCAGTATCTTGGCTGTGCCTAGAACTGCACATTTCTGGACTGAGATGTCTGATGTTGTTCCTGGGATCTGTTTGAGCCACTGCTCCAGTTTGGGGGTGACTGCCCCGAGGACCACAGGCACCACTGTGGTCTTCACCTTCCAGGCCTTCTCCAGTTCCTCTCTGAGGAACTGGAAAGTAGTAGTACTAACTGGTACTACTACTAACCAGTTAGTAGTAGCTACTAACTACTACTAACTGGTTAACCAGTTAGTAGTTAATATATATATAATTTTTTATGTTCATTTTACACTGCTCTGACAGTCTGCCAGCAATTTGACAACGGTTTTTATGCTGATCTCAAACCTCTTTCCCTTTTCAACTTGTATAAGAGTACCACAACACTCAGAGCCAAGACTGTGCTCCAGATTTAAAGACATGAAGAAGATGTGTCACCAGAGGTGTTTCAGTCTGTTGAAAGGAAAGATCAACTCCACAGATAACAGGCTTTCTGTTATCTGTTATCTGTGGAGGTCTATGTTGACCTATGACAGACCTGAAACATTGGCAAATTTGCAGTTGTAAAGATAGCAGTCTCTAAGGTTGAAGTAAAATACTGATGTTATTAGATATTTAAATTTAAGGGTCAAGACTAGATAAAAACTCAAAAAGAGTTTCAAGAGGATTTCCAAACACACACAACTCCCCACATAAACACATTTACATGGTTTCTTTGTGAATCATGTTATGTTTGTGAATTAGAATCAAAACTAAATCAATTGTAGGTTTAAAAAAGTTGAGAAACAATCATGTTAAAATTATGATT